GGCATGGCGCGCGGGTAGTTCACTGCGTCAGGACAGTCCAGCCTCTCACTGCTTTGGGAGAAGTGCTTGAGAATAGCGCCTGGATCTGACCGAGGCCGCTGGCGCAAGACACGGACATCGCCTGTTCTAAAAAGCTGCAAGCGCAGCCATGTCTCCAGCCGCCTTGCCACACATTGAGGTCAGTGACAGACGGGATTTATTTACACATTCGAGAAGATAGCCTGCGTCGCTGCTGCCATGTCGCGGCCGCGATACCGGGCGACGAGCCGCGATGAGGGGGATCCCGCGCGCGTGGCCGCCATGTGGCATTTCTATGCGCGGTGCGGGCTTATTACTGCTAGTTCAAATTGCTCGCCCATGGGACTCCTAGCAAGGCCTGCGACATGGGTCGCCAAGGAGCTCCTGGCTGGCGCGCGAGGATAACATTGCCCAGGCCGAGGGCGGATGCGCGACGATGCATCGACCCCAGCTTGTTCCTAGACCGGCAAGGAGGCCTGGGTGTGAAGGACAACCCGGGAGACACCCTCCACAGAGTCATGCGTGACCAGTCCCGATAGAAGGACCTGAGGTGCTTGCGAAGCTCCAGGAGATGCAGGACCCTTGCGCTACCGCAGCCTGGCGTTTGGGATAATCAGGCGAAGTGTGCCCAGCTGCAAAATCTGCTACATGAGCATCTAGGCGCGCGCAGTGCGCCGTCGCGGACCCCACTCACCCTGGCTCTTGGAATTCAGCAGCATGCCGATCAAAGGCCTCGCGAATCTCTCGATGGCGCAAGCGTTCAGCGTGCGCGCGCAGTTGCGGCCAACGATGCTGACCTACACGCAGTGACTTAGTAGGTGCGCCAATGTCCAAGACCGCGGGGTCGCGGTCTTCAATGACACTTGCCAGGTTGAGGCCCGGGTCAACCTGGTCATTAGAAACCAGTCCAAACCAGCGAAGGGAACGAGCACCTAGTCGAACCTCTTGCTAGTCTTGCCTGTCGGGGGCACGCGGGCACGCTGCGTCTCGCTTATAGGGGGGGAAGGAACGCGGACGGAGCGAACGCGTCAAATCGATGATAGGGACCCCTGAGACATTTGCCCGAACTGTTTTCTTCAACCGCTTCAGCTTCCCCGATGTGCGTCGACGAAACCGAGCCTGCCTCCGCATTCGCAATCAAGCACACTGGGCATTCTGATGGACAGATGGGTCAACGCAGTTCTCCTGGCGCCAAGCCGCCAGCTCTTTGCGACAGCCAGGTCTTTGCGAGCAGAACGAGGCGCGCGCGCTGCGACAAAGGTGGATACTAGGCACGCGAGACCAAAGAAACAGGCGGCTTATGTCGGCGCGCAGCTGTGCGACGTGCTGCTCAGTGGGATGTGCGCCCATCCCTGGAAGAGCTGAATCCAAATCGAGACGCCATCAGAACCGCCGACGTCAACTAGCACAGGTGACCGGCGCATCCCCGAGCTTCTTCGGCATGGCCGTCTGGGCCCCAGTCCCCAAGACCCCGGGGGCATGGAACCTTGCCTCCGAGGCTTGATTCGCGAAAAGAGCGAGTCGCCTCGGATCATTTCGGGTGGTCGCCTTGAGGAGCACAGCGTTGCTGGACCCTTTGCGGGCCTAGGGCGCACTGTAGGGCCATGACGCTGGCAGCTCCAAATTTGACCTGATGCAAGGCTTGTTGCCGGACAGGTCAGGAATGCTTCGGACATGCACGACGTCCTGGGCCTGTCGCCCAGGAACCCCCAGGGCTTTCTCATCAGTGATATTCGGAACCCTTTCGGAGCGGCCAGAATGAAGCCAGACCCGCCCCAGGGCAGACGAATTAAAAAGGAACGACACGAATGGCATGAACTCCATGGAGGGCAGCAGTCCCATTCCCGCAAGTCCGGCGAGCGTGTCGTCGAGTTCAGAATATCCATCCCCTTGGTGACTCCGAACACGGTTCCCCTCGATGGCGCGTGAGGAACTGGGCCATGGGGCTCCGAAGCACGAGCCCAGAGAACATCACATCAAAGCTGTGGGTGCCCATTCGATTGCCCATGTTCGCATCGAATCCAGCCTGAGCAGAAAGGCGCGAGGTAGGGCAGCGGTTTACCGCGTCTTGCTGGACCACGCCATGGATGTACCTTCAGAAAGGCCATGGGTTCTTCACCATGTTCATGCAGCAGAAACAGTGCGCACGCTGAAACAAACGGTATTCCAGAGGTTCCAGCGCCAGCTGTTCCAGTATATATCAGAACTCAAGTTGCAGGAAGGAGGGGAAAACATGGAACATGCTTCTGGAGTACCTCGGAAGTTGCAGGGTGAACGCGCGCAGAAACAGCAGCTTCACAAAGCACAGGCGCCTGGAGTGATCATTGCTGTCGCAGTTGCGCAACGGCTTCTTGACTTGAAGAGGATCGAAAGCCACGAGTGACATCAGACTGGGGCCGCTGCGAACTGACTGGGCTTGCGGTGGCCGAAATTAGAAAGGGGACGTTTCCTGGGTTCGTGGCGTGGCATGCCGAGCTCGGCC